AATCAAATATTTAGATTCCCCCATGTTAATCTTATGGGAAAAACTCCAACTTTGATGGCCTGTGGGGCAAAGCCCGAGGATTTTTACTACATGAATTGTGAAAGGGGGTGTCTACACAAAAAATATTTTATTTTGACTCGTCGTTTGTAAAAATCCGTCCATTATTAACGGAGGAGTAGTGTTTTCAAGAAATCGCCTTCACGTATTATCTAATATATAAAATTCTCGTGTCACAGTGTTTGTCTGCAAACTCCTCCGGAACGACTTCACCGATCGTTATGAAATTTGGTGTGTAAATTCTGTAGGTATGCGAATAGGAAGTAAACTATTTCCCGTTTCGAAATTCTTAAAAGGGCTCCGCCCCAGTGGCTCTGGAGTTTCCCATGTTAACCTTATGGGAAATGGAATTAATGAATCTTAACAGCTGTTTCAATTAAACAAGTTGGTTCTGTTCTATGATGTTCAATGGCATTAAAGTTACAAGGATTACCAACAGGGTGCAGCACTATTATTTCTTTTACATTTATGACAACAGCTAATTTGCAACCAAAAGGTGAGTGAGCGTAGCGAACGAACTTCAACCTGGAGGCGAGTGAGCGTAGCGAACGAGCTAACCTAAAGGCAAGTGAGCGCAGCGAACGAGCTCCAACCTAAAGGTGAGTGAGCGTAGCGAACGAGCTCCAACTCAAAGGTGAGTGAGCGTAGCGAACGAACTTCAACCAGGACGTGATTGAGCGATGCGAACGAGATCATCTTGAAAATTAAACGTAACGGTACTTTCTTTCCATCGGTCTGTCTTAGGGGAAACCTATAACTTAGGCGATACGAAGTTCGCGGGGTCAGCTAGTATATTATATATTATACGTACCTTATATATAATACGTGAAGGCGATTTCTTGAAAACACTACTCCTCCGTTAATAATGGACGGATTTTTACAAACGACGAGTCAAAATAAAATATTTTTTGTGTAGACACCCCCTTTCACCAATTCATGTAGTAAAAATCCTCGGGCTTTGCCCCACAGGCCATCAAAGTTGGAGTTTTTCCCATAAGATTAACATGGGGGAATCTAAATATTTGATTGGAAACTTTGTCCCCACTAATTTGAGAGAACGGTTGGGCGTAGAAACTTGGTAGAGGTGTCCAAAGAAAGGTCTTGGTCTGTAGATGAGTTATCAAAAGAAAAACTAAGCAAAATCCCTTAGGACTCTGCCCCAGAAGCCTTTAAAGATCCCTCCACAGAGTTGTTTACATTTTGGCCATGAGAATAATACTTTTTCCTACAGTCACCCGACAAAGTTGGCTTCCTTGTACTGTTTATAGTACAGAAAGCTGCTAATTGCTGCATATTTATACTTTGCCGTACGGTTTATACTTTGCCGTACGGTTTATACTTTGCCGCACATCAGGATTCCAACGAAACAACACAAAACAGCGTGGTTTTATTATGGACGTAATCCGTGTACGCTTGGAAATAGGTTGGCAACACTTAAAGATAATAATACTATGAGCAGCTGATTGACTATTATAACTACGATTTAACCTGTCATTTCGAGTGCATTTATAATGATGTCGAGTGCAGCGAAGGCCTTTTTCACTCGTTTTACACATTATATTTTTCCTACAGTCACTATAAAGCATATAAATAATTAGTCTTTCAAACACTATACAACACGTTTTTTGGTTCAGCTGGCAACATAAATGGTGCCCTAGAGAAAGTAGTACCCGCGGTCCACATCACTCCGCTATTTTTCCTCGGCAAGAAATGTGCTCCGCGTTTTGAGAATATAGTTCCGTATGTTTTTCTAATTTGAAGTGGTTTCCGCAACTAAAAAAAATGCTTTAAAGGTATTTTCTTGTTTATTAAGATCGTAGGCATGTTTTAAAAACGTTTAAAAGAAAAGTCCAGAAAGTTCAGAAATACCGAAACTATAAACACGAAATGACAGGTTAAATCGTAGTTATAATAGTCAATCAGCTGCTCATAGTATTATTATCTTTAAGTGTTGCCAACCTATTTCCAAGCGTACACGGATTACGTCCATAATAAAACCACGCTGTTTTGTGTTGTTTCGTTGGAATCCTGATGTGCGGCAAAGTATAAACCGTACGGCAAAGTATAAACCGTACGGCAAAGTATAAATATGCAGCAATTAGCAGCTTTCTGTACTATAAACAGTACAAGGAAGCCAACTTTGTCGGGTGACTGTAGGGAAAAGTATTATTCTCATGGCCAAAATGTAAACAACTCTGTGGAGGGATCTTTAAAGGCTTCTGGGGCAGAGTCCTAAGGGATTTTGCTTAGTTTTTCTTTTGATAACTCATCTACAGACCAAGACCTTTCTTTGGACACCTCTACCAAGTTTCTACGCCCAACCGTTCTCTCAAATTAGTGGGGACAAAGTTTCCAATCAAATATTTAGATTCCCCCATGTTAATCTTATGGGAAAAACTCCAACTTTGATGGCCTGTGGGGCAAAGCCCGAGGATTTTTACTACATGAATTGGTGAAAGGGGGTGTCTACACAAAAAATATTTTATTTTGACTCGTCGTTTGTAAAAATCCGTCCATTATTAACGGAGGAGTAGTGTTTTCAAGAAATCGCCTTCACGTATTATATATAAGGATGTCTCCTCGGTGAATAAGGTTAACGTTGCCAAATTGCCTTTAAAGTATTGCAAATCGTTGTTGATTAGTTAAAACCAAAGTTTGCAAATAGTGGTTTAAATAGTAAATGATCTTTAACGCAAAGGAATGTATTTAACGTAGTATATAAAATAAAATGTACTCTGTTAAAAAATAAGTTGGTGATTAAACATTGTATTTATAATTAGGTTAAAATATAAAATTGTTTCACTCTTGCAATACCATGATAATAAAATGTGATATTCCAGTTTAAATCGACAGCTAGGATCCTATTTCACTGGGGTTGTTATCTATGTCGCAACTTTGGCTCGGGTGCGGGGGATGATCACGTGTTGTTTGTTTTGTTTTCGTTTCTGTGTTCACCGCGAGTTGCAGTAGATGTCAGTTTTCCATAGGGCACACATCTTTCTACAAAAATGCCCTATTGTGCAGTGTACGGTTGTTGTAATAGTTCGAAAAATAAGAACACGCAACCAAACGTGCGATATTTCAGTTTTCCTCAACAAATCAACAGGAGGCTTAGACAATGCAATTTTGCTAGTGGCGAAAAAAGTAAATTTCTAAAGAAACTTAAAAAAGTTTAGAAAAATCCAGAGGTGATGAAATGTTTAATTTTTTAGATGTTTACTTTCAGGTCGTAAATATTTTTATAAGATTGCAAAATGTAACAAACTATGTTTTTGGTTAAGGAAATGTTATTCATTTCCGATCCTACAAATTTTATGGCAACTTGTTATCAAAGAGAGTTAATTTGTATAAAAACGAAGATGTTGCAACGCATTTTAATGTAAAACTTATTATATCTGTCACATGTTAATATTACATATTTCATTTAAAATGTAGAATACAAAGTATATCCTTATAACATGTAGGTACAGTGTTTTGGATAATAAATGCGTGGCCTTATTATCCAATAAACGGTGGCATCGGCTGAGCGCGCGCTCCGTTGCCGCTTGATATAATTCTTCGTAGCTAAAAAAGTAATTCTTTTATCGAAATCCAACCGATACTACAGTTAAATTAGAACCTTTCCCTAAAACTTTCCCGCAGGTCTCATAAACCTGACCAAATAATACGTGATTTGGTAGCCGACTAACTTTTTTGTGTTAGTATGAAAAAGTTTGAAGTTTGATCGGTGGTTGAATGGTTTTAAATTCAAATAAATTAATAAAATTTAAATCATAAGCATCCTATGTTAATAGTCCAAGACTTTGCAAAGTTTCAGAAATTTTTATCGGTTCTTACTATTAAAAATTACAATTTTATTAGAGCGGCGTCACTGCTCGATATGGTCGCGAGGCATGTTTGCCCCCAAGGTGACGTCACGATACCCCTCCCCCGCACCGCCTGCAGCCGGCTACGATGCGCAGTAGCACACCTTATTTACTTCCACCATGATAGAACACCACCAAGGTGAAGAAATAGAAATAATGTTTTTATTCTAGAATTTATAATTGTTATTATGGATAACCTAATGTGGCTATGAGTAAGACTATTATTTGTAGAAAACACTAAAAAACAAGACCAGCTTTTGAAAAATGATAAGATGATTACAAGAAATGTTGATTATATTGATCTGTTATGTACATCTTGAGTATTTCCATAAAATGAGTCTGAACCTTTTAAAGTCATAAGAAATTATGACTGTTATTCATTTTAAAATAAGGCCTGTAATACTTAGCAATTACTTGAATTCGAGCAACAGGTACACTAGTAGGCTTTTAACTCTTTTAAGTAAGCATATCATAACATCATGAAGTGTTGATTTAGGTATGTTCAACTGAAGACTTCATCATGCAATGGATGTTTTTAGGCTTCTGATGCAGAATTGTTGGATTTCTTCTACTATGTCATCGCTTGTTCTTAGCCGGCCAGGTGAATGTCTTTTCAAAACACTACGGTGCCATGAAACTCATTAAATCAGCGTCAAATTTATTTATCATCAAGTAAATTTAAATTCAGTTGATTTAGCAATCATAAACTCTGTGAAGCCCAGATTACACTCTGTTCCTTCTGTTGCGCTGTAAACATTGCACTGGCATCAGGCGTGTGAGGCGCAATAGCAGCCTACCAACCCGCACCTGTTTTGCACATGCCAAGGTCAAAGTTTCCTCCGTTGCTAACAGGGGAAACAAAACTTTTTAGCTTCAATTTGATGTATAAAACGTTCAGTTACCTAGAATACTATCCAAGCAATTACCATTTAAAATCCCGGCATTCTTTTATCAACATTCTGTATTTCTTAGATTCTTCTTTGTATTCTTAAATTTATTGATATTGAGATTTTTTTTAACTATCTAGACACTATCATAAACAAGGATAAAACCACTAAAGGGAAAAAATAGTCAGGATTTTGAAAATTTACACTTTATTTAACCTTAAGCTAAACGTTTACAAAAATAACAGTGTCATTAGAGCCTAAAATCTACAATTGGCCTTAACTCTCACTAGATAAATGGTTAAATTACATTAAAGTGATAAACTGAAATTCGTAAATTGACTATTAAATCCTCAGGTCATGGAAAATTAAAACAATTAAGTCTACCAAAGGAAGAATGAACACAAGCTAGAAACTACAATAGTTATCACAATAAAATACATAGGTGTGCAGTTATTCTTTTACCCAACCACTTTCTTGAGATGTTCGTCAAACAGATAGATAGCAAGGCTGGGGTCTTTGTTGCCCTTGATGAGTTGATGAAGGTCGTTAGCGTGGCCGGCCAGGTCTCGGATACTGTCAGCATGCTTGGCAACAAACTCTGTCTCCAAGAAGTTGATGGTCTGCAAACAAACATTGAGTGTGACATTTGGTAAAACAGTACCACATGGAACTGTTATCCTAATGGTACAGCTGAATAGAATTTTAAAAATAAGTTTGAGGGAATGTTTTTTGTTGTTCGTATAGAGTATTTTGTTTACTACCGTACACATTTCTTGCGATTTAACTAGCCTAATTTTAAAACCTTTTTAACCAGATGAAACAAATAACTACAGCAATCGACTATGTTTTAATTGGTATTATAAAAACCTACCCTAAAATAAGATTTCTATGACTTTTTGTTTGACATTGCAACACATATTGTGGTTAGCCTACCTCTGCATCATGGAAGGTCTTCTTGCGCACGGTCACTTCACTGTGGATCTCGTGGGCTGTCTCGGCCAACACCTTCTGCATATCAAGAGCAGTGGCCAAACTGCTCAGCTCGGACATCTTGTATGACTGGATCTGGACCTGCAAACACCCATGTTAAAAACTAACCATTCATCGCTGTTGTGAATATCGTCCCAGTAAGGGCATAGGCTACTCCCAGAACTGTGATATTCAATTGCAGAATTGGTTTGTGTGATATTCTACGAAAATGTATTTTGGTAGGGTTTATGACATTGCTAAATGACAAAAAAATTGTAACACCTATGTTGCTGTGTGTTGACGAACTGACTGTTCTTGGGGCAGCCACCTGTCTTGTGGCAGAAAAGAGATAGGAAAACGGATCTAAATTCAAATTCTTTAGTGTTTTTTTTCTGTTTGCCTATTTGTAGTAAGGTATGCCAACAAAATGAGACAGCTTTTCCCCTTTGTGCATATTTGCTACCATTACTACAGGTATTGATATTACATTATAAAATTAACATGAATTTTGTCACCAGTTAAATAAACATTGTTGTCATGGGTGGGTTAACAACATCCACCATTAGCAGTACAGAGTGCAACAGCATTCTGCCCAGCTGTACTACTATTCTACTACATCAATGACATTTTTAAAAGTGTCTTTGACAACCGTAAAAGGTTTGTTGGCCCGTACCAACTCACTACGGACAAAATTGAAAAAGCATTGTACGTTGATTGTCAAACTAACTTACTATAACCCTCTTGTTAATTTAGTTAGCCCTTCAAATTATCCTTTTTGTTCATAGTAAACAAAAGACGTCTTTTATTGAAGAATATATCGTAAAAACAAAGAGGCCCTGTTCGTACCTTCCTCCTCGGAGTTATGTTGTAGTCCATGTTAAAGCCACGTTTTGCCATGTACTTGACAATGTCCAAAGTGTCCTCCCATGCATCATCAGCCAGCTTGCGGTACAGCTTACTGAAGCCCTCTCGGTTAGCTTCATAGTTGTTGAAATAGGCTGACTATTCAAAGACAAAAATATGAAAATCAGACACATCATTAAATGTGATGTGTAAAGTGAAAAGGGACCTCTTGCCGGCAGGGCCGGATCTAGACAATTTTTGAGTGGGGGCAAACTAAAATTTGCCGCCCCTCCCCCCCCTTCACCCACAGCAAAAAATCCCTCACAAATTAAACCAAAATGGAATAGGTAAAGTGGAATAGGTAGATATAACGAATTCCTTGATATAACGAATTTTTTTTAATGCCCTAGAACTCTCCATAAGACACAATGTATATTTTACCTCGACATAACGAACAAACTATAACAACGACCTTGATTTAACAAATTTTTCGTGATTTCGGCTAAAATAAGACACCTTAATATAACAAATTTATCATTGTCAGAACCTCTACATTGCGAATTTAACCTCTGCATAACGAATTGTCTACGTCTTTCACTCGATATAACAAATCCCCCACCCAATTATTGTTTTGGGAAAATCTGTTTCTTTATCAAATGAAATGGAAAGGTCACGTCATCGCTTGCGCTAACATTCGTCTGCTCCGTTTTACATCTTTGTCTGCTGTCTCTGCGCGCGCTACGTTGCAACTGAGAACAACTGATTTCATTCACTGAGGACTGATGACGACGTAATGTTTAGTAAGCTGTGATTGGGCGATATGGGATAACTATGGTGAATTGTACAATTTTTTTGATAAAGAAAAACCTAAGAAAGAATATAAAAACAAAACCAAAGAGAAAGAATAACAACATCGCTATTTTAACATTCCTTTTACGAGTATTTTTACTATCCTTAAGTTGGCTATGATTATACACTTTTATAATGACTTATCTAATAATTTATTGTTTTCAATACGATTTGTTTCAACTAGCATTAGCAACACCAATGCTATAGTTAATGATTATTATTGACATTCCTCTGTTGTGATAAATCAGTACTGTACTGTAAGTAGCCTACCGGCCTATCGCGAGCAGTAGCTTACAAAACTTTCTACTGTTTTGTTTTGTTCTTTACATAATTTATGACTATGCAATACAGTGTTTGGCTAGGTTTTAGGAGGGTTAGAACAAGCTGTGATTTTAAACTTATAGTTTTTAACCTGTACCAAGGTCAATGCCATTGTCATGATTGCGCAATATTCAAGATCCCTCCCCTTTATTATGCCGGATAATTTAGGTTCTACTGTACAATGTAAACACTGTACTGTAAAGTATTGTAGCCCATGCTACTTTAATTGTACTGTATTTTAATGAGGTCAAGTCCCGACCTATATTGATCGACGCTGGTTCTGAACCTCGACTTAGAGAAATGAAATTCCTGCAAACCTAACCTCTATATAACGAACCACGGCAGTGAGGCAGGGCGGGACGGCGCCTTGACAGGGATGGCGATCAGCTGAAATTGTAAACAAACTTTGCTGTGCTTAGGTCTCTCAGTGTTTTCTACTCCGTTGCAATTTATATTGATTTCTATTGTAAAATTATTGTTTGTTTATTACGTTATGCAGTTTTGAAATTACTTAATTGACGTTCCTTATGACGTTCGGCTCATTAAAAACTTTTACAAACTGTATTAACCAAATTTTCTGCAACCAGAAATTTGCCGCCCCTCAACCCTGCCGCCCGGGGCAACCGCCCCTTCTGCCCCCCCCTTGTTCCGGCCCTGCTTGCCGGGGATGCAAAATTTTCAGTACGGCCAATATAAGTAATTGAGGTCGAAAATATCAAAACTCGGTTTTTTATCGATTGTTATAGGCTACCTCATTTAACAAAGAACAGGACAGTATTGGTTAAAATTTCAAATTGAAGATGTAGAAGGTCGAAATAAATAATTTTGTTAGCCTCTGCACGGTCTGAGAAAAGGTAACTCTTGTCGCTCAATGTTATTTCGCCATAACCACATGAGGTCCCATTTCTAATATTTACTTTATAAACAGACTTTAGTCTTAAAAATGAATTGTACTGCATTCTAGTGGAAATGAGAGATACAACAAAGTTCAGTTTACGGAGAACAAAATATCTCACAAATATTGCGGTCCCGACAAGAGGTCCCTTTTCTGAAATGTGATTTTTACGACATGCTTCGATAAAACCATTATTTAAATGAAAACTACGGTGAGTTGAGACGAAAATTGGTAGGCCTATTGCCTCCAAAGAGGACGTAATAAGTTTTCTTTTGATACCAAAATCGTTTCTTAAATAAGAAAAAAAACTTTTTTGCGTATTTGAAATGTTCAAAATTGTTTTTCTGAAAATGACCCTTTTCCATAACAACATTTCAAAGTCCTATAACTTTAACAACAACAAAAAATCGTAGATGCGTTTGGCTTACACCAAGAGCGATTTGGAATTTAATAAGGAATTCAAATATATAGGCCTATATAACTCAAATTCAAAAATTCCCGACAAGAGGCCCCTTTCCGCTTTCCACATCACATATCATGAAATCCTGAATGAACAGCATGACTCAAGTTTGCCCCTTAAAATATAAAAAATATAGTTAGCCTACATTACACATCATGCTATGGTAGGCCTACTTTAGAGTGCAACCACAAAAGAATAGTGTATTTACAAAAGTTTTTTACCTAATTTTAAGTTGAAGAGTGTAAAACCATTCATTGCCCCTGTTAACAATGATATCAACTGTAAAAAAGCGGGGTAGAGAACATTAAAAAAATATTGTTTTATAGTCGGCCTAAGCAAAATGCATTTCCTGTAAAGAGAGTTAATTGTTGTTTTTCGATGATTCTAGTACCTACTCAACTTGTATAGCCTAGGGTCTACTTAATCTCGATGTTATTAAATATAAACAAAAGAAAATTTAAGATAGGGTAGGTCAAAAGTGAGCTTAACAGATTTTAAAACCTGTTTAACATGTCCTTAATTATTTGTGTAGGCTTTAGGGGTATTCCTAGAATGTGCTCACCATCAACAAGTACTTCCAGTTCTGTTCCAAGTGGGTGGCTGCGTAGTGCTGCAGGTCTGATGACACTGTGTTGACTCCGGAGTAGTTGGAGTTGCAGTTGCCAATGTCGCCACCTGAAACATCACAGACCATTGACTGCATATTAGGCCTACTGTATTTCTTATGTTCTCTGACGTTGTCTTTAGAAATTTAATTTTAAGAAATGACAATAACGAGATCTTAATCTATGGATCACAAGAAAATATAGACATTGTAGTTGACTACTAGTATGCAAGACACTTTTGTCGGAAACTTTTATCAAGCAAGAAAAATGTCTTATAACCATTGCATGCAGTCCTACGTAAACACAAGTCTTTTGATGAAATTGTTCATCACTTTCTTGTTCAAATGTTGTAGAATTTGATGGATAGACAAGAATCTTTTAGCTTAGAATCAAGACACCGTTTGGGAAACTTTGTGAGCAACAACTGCACAGTTTTACAAGCTATGACAAGTGGCTTGTTGAAACCTTTTAAAAAAACTTAAGTTGTTCAAATCCTAATTACCACCCAATTCAAGCATTCAAAGTTGTTGCCCAAAATTAAAGCTCAAAATATCCTAACTTTCTCCGTTGACTGTATAGGCCTTAGTGAAATTGCCACGAGCATTCTCCAAAGAAAAAGAACCAATCGTGACTTTGTCTTATAATGTGAACCAAACGTTGAAGGAAACAAGTAAATCAACTCACCAATTGCTCCACAAGATCGAACAACGTCATTGTAGCAAAATTCACATTGAGCCACATTGGCTAAGCCCAAAAGGGAAACTGTCAATAGGGTTAAAAACTTCATTGTACTGCTGAAACAAAAAAATTAAGTCAATATGAGTACCGTACCATTTTAAAAGTAATATATGATTAACCCTAGCAGTGGCCAACGATTGTTCGCCGTAACGCCTAGAATGGCCACCATCGTAATGCGATAGTATGGGCCAAAAATTTTTAACGGTAAAACAATCACTTATATAATCAACTCAGATGTGAACAATATATATACCATCCAAAAGATCACATTCTGAACTTTCATTTTATTACATAAACAAACCCTGTATCAGGTAGGGCCTATATAACAATGTCATGACGATTAGAAATCAAATGATTTTTTGATGCGGCACTGTTCTAACATAGAGAATGAACTTGACTTTTGCAGCTGACACCTGAGAACAGTCTAAACAGGACTTGTTTGGCATTACCCTGCTCGGGTAATTTTCGTCTTGGGATAATGCGGGTGGTACCACTGGATAGCCATTGAGTTTATTTTCATTGTGGTGTTAATTTTAAGAACGAAATGTTGATTGGACAACAGTTACGATTTTATGAAAACAGCTGTTTTCGAAATTTATAACAAATGGCTAACCATCTCAATACGATAGTACGGAAAATACAAATTACTTATATACAGTGTAGGCCTAAGTTATTATTACTAGTAATATAATATGTCATTCTGAAGAGGAAGAAATAAAGCTTTAGAGAGTGGCAGCCCTTTGCTCATGATTATTTCCGTTTGCTCTCAGGAAGACGAGGAAAGTGTGTCACTACTGTCAAGGTCTCATACACAAAGTGCCTTGTATTCGTCATTGCGTGTTGTTGTTGGTGAGTTCTCGCTCTCGTGTTATCCACGATTTATTACTAAATTTGTTATTATGTATAACAGTAATCCTCAGAATGCATTTTATTAAGCATGAATAATAATGAATAGTGTGAAATAGTGTTTATAAAAGGTTGTATTTTTCTTGCGGTTGTATTTTACGGTTTTTCGATGCTAACCAACACACAACCTAAGTTATTTACACAAAAATGTAGTTTATCCGGAAAAACGGTGCTTTTTGGGGAAAATGACAATAATTTTTGAATTCAGGACGTTATTTAGCATAAATAAAAAGGAAAAATATTATTTTAGCGTGCCATCCATGATTGATATAATTACCAAGAACTAGTGATGTGGGCCGGGTAAATACCCAGTGGGTAGGTAAATATAAATTGGGTTTTTACCCGGGTATTTACCCCAGGCCCGGGTAAATACCCAAAAACTGGGTATTTATAATATTTATTAAAGTTAGAGAAGATTGAGATGTTTTTTTGCAATTATTACCCTGGAAGGATAGTAAAATGATGATAAAATGTGTTAAACAAAATTTCATATGGTCACTACTAGCATTTTACTTCTGGTTATAATCGCCATAAATACCCAGGTCTGAGCATAAAGCATAATCAGCATAAATACCCTGGTCGCATGGTTGCACTGGTCCTGACTACTTATGATTTTTTAATTTCTATACTAGATAGATGAATTTATTTTATTGAAAGTGAAGAAAAATAATTTGTAAAGTAATAATTATTATTTAGAAAGACAGGAAAATTTAACCTAGTAGTGGCCTATGTGTAAACAACTTAAGAAAATAAGGGTACACTTCCATATCTGTTGGCACAAACAACCGAATGAGTAATATTGATTATTCGACTGTTAAATTCGATATATCGATCAATATTTTCATTCCATTGTTTGTGCCAACAGATATGGAAGTGTACCCGAAATAATTAAAATTCAATCTGTAGGATGGCAGGATTTAATATTTTTGTTCTAGATATTTTGTTAGTGTCGGTATCAACATTTAAAAAAATAATTTCATAAACTTGTGATACAAAACATTTGAATCTATAGCACAATAAGTATTTTGAAATTATATTGAGTTAGATATACATCCTTTTTGTAGGTTTGTCCAAATATATTATTGTTTCCAACTAAGCGGTAACACAGAAAAGTTTAATTACTTTTAGTATTCTGCCATTCTGCCTATGTCAATCAAGCCTTAGGTCCGTCTAGCCATCCAAGCCATTTAATACAATACAAATTTTACTATCATAATTTAATAACATTTGGATATTAATAAATTAAAATAATTTTGTTTTATGCTATTTAATTGAAAAAAAAATCATGAAAAAGTTAAATTTATTGAACAAAATTATGAAATGAAAAAAATTGAAATAGCCACAACCTTTTTTAATATACTATTTTTAGTAAGTTAAATTTTACTGATGTTACTCGATTTAAGACACGAAACCCCATGCCTTTTGGAAACTTTATGTATTTTTTTTTTTAAGTGCTTCAGTAAATCATTAAATAAAAAGTACTAGCAAAGCTTCAAGTTGCTGTAAAAAGTGTTTTAGACTATCCTAATTTATCATGTAATGATAACAATAACATATTTAGGGGTAAATATAAATTAATTTCAATTGATTTCATAAATACCCAAAATACCCGGGTATTTATGGATTTTGGGTATTTACCCGGGTAATTACCCAGGGTATTTACCCTGAGTTTTAAATACCCGGGTATTTTACATCACTACCAAGAACACATAGTGTAACTTAGGCCTAAAATAATTTCAATAACCAGATAGCTTATAAATTTCACTCTAAGTTAAATTTTGAGAGGGATTATGTGATTGCTTGAGTTACAACAGAAGAAACAGAACAGCCTGAACCAATTTTTTTCAATTTAAAAAATGTAGGCCTACCGTAGCATTTATTTAAATTAATATCACTTCCATATATTAAGAGTCTTCATCACCTCTGGTGTAGGCTTATGTAGTTGCGTTTTTTGAGTATAGCCTTGGGGGGGGGGGGGAAGGTGATGAGAACAATGAGTACCTTAACTTAGTGTGGGGTGATTAAGTTAATTATGTGCGCCATTCTGAAAACATCGTAAACACACAACTACTAAAACGAATTGTCGGTGACTCATCTGCTGCCTGAGCCAAGTTTTGTAAAAGGCTAGTAACTTAGCGCAGTAGGCCTAGCCTCGGACAATTTTTTTTCAGATGCAGTTTTTCAACAGATTCTCTTTAAACTTGGTAACAATGTAACTTACCCTAGTTGAATGAATCAGTAAGGCCTAGTTATAACATTTCAAGTCTTAAGTTAATTTACTTAATTGAAAATGAAAAAAAAATTGTTTTTTCAATGTTTAGAAGTACGGTAACTTGGGACTTACTTAACTTCTAGGCTAACTCAAATATACGTTACTTTAAAGATGTTTTGTAATTAATTGGTGTGAACCTGGCAATAACTCCAGCCATAAGTAGTGCGCGCGGCCAAAAAAAATTATTGCTGGCCGTTTTGCGGCAAAATACGTCCGCGAGCAATATTACCGATGATGCCAACAGATAGAGGACACTTTAACGGACACGACAGTATCAATATCATGTACCTGGGGGATAAGTTAAGGGGGGTAAAACCAGCAATAAGTTGTGCGCGCGCCCGAAAAAATCTATTGCTGGCCGTATTGCGGAAAAATACGTCCGCGAGCAATATTACCGATGATGCCAACAGATAGAGGACACTTTAACGGACACGACAGTATCAACATCATGTACCTGGGGGATAAGTTTAGGGGGGTATAACCAGCAATAAGTAGTGCGCGCGCCGGATAAAATCTATTGCAGGCCGTATTGCGGAAAAATACGTCCGCGAGCAATATTACCGATGATGCCAACAGATAGAGGACACTTTAACGGACACGACAGTATCAATATCATGTACCTGGGGGATAAAATAAAGGGGTTAAAACCAGCAATAAGTAGTGCGAGCGCCGGATAAAATCTATTGCTGGCCGTATTGCGGAGAAATACGTCCGCGAGCAATATTACCGATGATGCCAACAGATAGAGGACACTTTAACGGACACGACAGTATCAACATCATGTACCTGGGGGATAAGTTTAGGGGGGTATAACCAGCAATAAGTCGTGCGCGCGCCCGATGAAATCTATTGCTGGCCGTATTGCGGAAAAATACGTCCGCGAGCAATATTACCGATGATGCCAACAGATAGAGGACACTTTAACGGACACGACAGTATCAACATCATGTACCTGGGGGATAAGTTTAGGGGGGTATAACCAGCAATAAGTAGTGCGCGCGCCGGATAAAATCTATTGCAGGCCGTATTGCGGAAAAATACGTCCGCGAGCAATATTACCGATGATGCCAATAGATAGAGGACACTTTAACGGACACGACAGTATCAATATCATGTACCTGGGGGATAAAATAAAGGGGTTAAAACCAGCAATAAGTAGTGCGCGCGCCGGATAAAATCTATTGCTGGCCGTATTGCGGAAAAATACGTCCGCGAGCAATATTACCGATGATGCCAACAGATAGAGGACACTTTAACGGACACGACAGTATCAACATCATGTACCTGGAGGATAAAATAAGGGGGGTATAACCAGGGTATTGTAACAAATTTTGTTACAATTTGTCTTGTCTGTAGTAAATTTAATGTCACAAACCTCATATTTACTTAGTCTATCATCAAGAAACACTTTACAAACTAAATTTTTAGGCTGCATATTTAGAACAAATGAATTATGATTCAATCATGGAATTTTTGGGAAAGAAATTTTTGAAATGTTACAGAAAGTTTAGTTAGGATATTAAAGAACAGCAGTTTCCTTTCAGAATGCTGCTATCAAACGGAATTTTAAAATATTGCAGCAAGTTTGGTTTAGGTTTGTTTAGCACAGTTTTATTTCATAATCAATATAGTTGTGGGCAGATAACGTGAAGTTTGGAGGAGAGGCATTGCCGTTCCTAATATATACTGTACTAGGTTTTCTGGTGTTAAACCTCTTCCCACACAGTTATACAAGTAACTAAGTTAGTATTTATAATATTTATAATCAAACTAAAACCATACTAGCAGAATCGCCTCGCCAATTCACCGAAGTTATGTTCTATGTTCCAAAATGTAAACATAACAAATTAGCAGATGACACTAGTTCAGAAACAGCTGATCTTGTGGTTCACCGCCGGGCCGCGCATCAGTCGCCCGCGCCTGCGCAGGGTACAGCCGGGGTACAGCGCTGGATGTGCGCGGCGCTCGCCGAGCCGAGATACTAGACACTAGACTAGACAGTGAGTCTGAGTCGCAGTCGGGGTCGGCGACGGCGAGGCGGGAGCATCGATGTATAATAACTACATCGATGGGCGGGAGTCGACAGCAAGGTGGTTTTTCAAATTCGTTTTGTTATCGCGTAGGTCCGTGAGAACACGGTGTTACCTAAAATAATGTGTGGTGTTTAGTTTGTAGTCAATGTTTATTGTAATCTATGTATAAAGTCAAAAGTACCCATGAACTTTTGAGAAAACTACAAGTCACAGCCCCATAAACCATATACTATACTTGTTCGTCATGACGAGAAACCTTGCGCAAAATTATTCATTATTTCATAAACTGCCCTATAAGGTCGTAATTGCTTTCCAAAGGGAACTTTCCATTTACCTAATGTTAAAAATACCTCAGCTGTTATTATTTGTTTGCATTACCATTACTGTATTCTGTTTTGTTTATTTCATCTTAACTTAACCAATCAATAGTTTTATTAATACTATTGTAGTAACAGGGGTGGAGCCCGTGGGTAACAGATAGTTACTGTAGCAGCAATTCAGCTGTGAGATATTTGATTTATGGGAGTAAAAGAAAATAGTTGATTTATTAGAGTGATTGTAATTTTTTGCTGGCTTCTTTACTAACTAACACGCTTTCATTTGTTTGTATTTCAGAACTGTACTAACAATTGCTATACCATTGCTGCACTAACCATTAATCATTGTCTGTTATACTAGAACCAGTGCACAGTAGCTATGTTCTATGTAGTCGCTTAGCCGCTACTTATTGCAATACTTATTGCTGGTTATACCCCCCTTTACTTATCCCTAAGGTACATGATATTGATACTGTCGTGTCCGTTAAAGTGTCCTCTATCTTTTGACATCATCGGTAATATTGCTCGCGGACGTATTTTTCCGCAATACGGCCAGCAATAGATTTTATCCGGCGCGCGCACTACTTATTGCTGGTTATACCCCCCTTATTTTATCCTCCAGGTACATGATGTTGATACTGTCGTGTCCGTTAAAGTGTCCTCTATCTGTTGGCATCATCGGTAATATTGCTCGCGGACGTATTTTTCCGCAATACGGCCGGCAATAGATTTTATCGGGAGCGCGCACTACTTATTGCTGGTTTTACCCCCCTTTTTTTATCCTCCAGGTACATGATGTTGATACTGTCGTGTCCGTTAAAGTGTCCTCTATCTGTTGGCATCATCGGTAATATTGCTCGCGGACGTATTTCTCCGCAATACGGCCAGCAATAGATTTTTTCGGGCGCGCGCACAACTTATTGCTGGTTTTACCCCCCTTAACTTATCCCCCAGGTACATGATATTGATACTGTCGTGTCCGTTGAAGTGTCCTCTATCTGTTGGCATCATCGGTAATATTGCTCGCGGACGTATTTTGCCGCAAAACGGCCAGCAATAAATTTTTTTGGCCGCGCGCACTACTTATGGCTGGAGTTATTGCCAGGTTCACACAAGTTTGTAATTAAACTTATACAATTGATTTTTTTTCAGATCACTTTACCAGGTAGGCCTATGAGGGCTCTAAGCAGAACCAACATTAATATGTAGGGGAGAAAGATTTTAACATTAAATTTAAATCTTACAAGTTCCATCAGGAGCAAGGGACTTACGAGGCATGTAAGTTATTAGGCCTAGCGTTTCCCCAGGGGTGAAGAAGACTCTTCATAAACAAGGCCTAAATAGGCTAACTTACTTACCTCTAAACCTTTATACACACTGGTATAGAAGGTTAACTATTTGAATCAGAAGTCTTCTTACTGCGACTTCAATATACCTAAACAAAGAGGGCAAAATCCGATTGATAACCAAAGTGATAACTTAACTTAGCCTAACTTAGACAATTATAAAATGTCTGAGCCTTGACAAATATTCGAGCAATAGAAAACTCTACCAAGACTATGGCATTCGAGATAAAAGCTCAGTCGATTTGAACAAGTTATACGTTTCCTTTGGGAAATAGCCAAATAATTTTAAATTCAAGACAAAATGCGTTACATACCTTATCTAGAACTCTCCCTGACTGACGTACGGACAGTCGCAGTTCGCAGTCAAACTCAAACTCGAGTCGGAGAACCAATCTTTCGGTTTCTGAGAATTTTTTTAGTTCATGAATCAACAACAAAAGTCCGGAAAAATACCAGCGGAGCATGCGCACTAACTAACTGCGCATTAAATCTCTTCTATCATTGGTCAATGTAGATTTTTTTTCTTCAGTCATCTGACTTGCTATCATCAGTGTGCTTCACATAGAGCTGATAAAGTGTGGTTATTATTTGAGTGCAAAGTGTAATTTGAATTTTGGACATTTAAGTGGCCTTCTACGCCAGTGTGTGTAAAGGCGAACTTGAGACAACCTGTTACTTTCGAACTAATCATGAAGAATTTGGCTGTTTTTGTTCTCATTTTCATTGTTCCATTAATAAATGGTGACCAACTGCATTGTAAGTGTAATCTTAGATTTTTATTGTCTATTACTAATATAGTATATTTTTAAAATATAACACTAGCCTAGGCTTCAAAACAAAAGAGCATTAGTCACTATGTCTTAGCTAAGCATAAATTATTTATACCTCCAAATGTGCTAGCCTCTGCTAACTTAGGCTAAATAAGTTAGTTTGAGTTGGTGTCCACAACACAAACAATAAACATGACTGAGTGTCAAAATCCTTTAACAAGACTATTGTGGCTGATTTTCAGGGGATTTTATTGAGTTCCACCTTCACATCCTAGTATGTTACCACGAGACCAGCTCACTCGCCGGGTAGACTTTCATAGGCCTAAGTGGGACCAAAAACAACCGAATTAATATATTAGTTATTTCATTCAATATACTTAGGCCTATCAAGTTGGGTTAGTTAACTTAGGTTAACCTAACCTAACAAACCAAATGAAATAATTGATGTCCTATTTTCATTCGGTTGTTTTTGGCCCCACTCATGAAAGTCTACCCCACTCGCCAATGTCTGGGTTTATTTTCAGGGGATTAAGTTAGATCAACACATTCTTACAATTCGAATGTCTTAAGGGTACCTAACTTAAGTTATAAGCACACTGGACACGACGCGGCACGATGTGACGAATCCAAAACAAACACTTAGAGTGGCACGGGTCTGTGGGGTGGCACGTTTCCATTTGAACCAGTCTAAGTTAAGTAGTTTGATATTTTGGAGTGGCCACACACGTTTTCCGTATTGGCTAACTTAGTCCTAGTGCTGGATGGCGGATGCCTTATTGACAAATTAAGTTAAGTTACTTAACTTAGATTGTAGTTGTGATTTAACTTATGCTGCATCCCTACAAATTACTGCCACATGTGGCAGGTGAGGCATAAAAATTACATGAACAGAGGGATTTTACCTTCATTAACGTGACCATGGAAGTAAGTGATTTATCTAACTTATCACCAGAAACTAAATTTTTAGTTATTTCAAAGATAATGGTGCAAACATTTTTACGGGATCAAAAATATCAACTGAACTACGGCTGTTTAATGTTGTTTAGGGGCTGTTTTAATCAGTCTCAAGACATAAGAAGTGTTTTAAAAGGACATTCGGCTGTCCACAAACATGTTATGCTGAAGTCTAAGAGAAATCCGACAATACTGCATCAGAAGCTCAAAAACAACAATTGACCAACAAAGTTTTTAGTTAAACATAGGCCTACCTAATTCGACTCTACACAATGTTATTTGTAAAAGATTGATAGGCCCTACTTAGTCCATACCAAATTCAGTTTTTAAGACAGATATTAAACCCGCTGATCACATTTGAAAGCTTCTAACCTACCGACTTTGCCAGTTTCATACTTACCGGTACCATTTAAGATTGATGACAATTTAAATTTCATACAATTTTCCAAAATTGATTTAGGTATGAAAATAACTAGGCCTATATGTTCTTTTCCCTTCAATTTGACATCCAAATAGTTTAATTACCGGTACCTATCTTTAACACGTTCGCTGCTACAGACGTTCCGGAACGTCAAACGGGCCATGGCGCCAGGAGCTAGTGAACGTTCCGGAACGTCTATTGATGTTTAACGTTGCCATGGAACAGCCAGCTCGTCACGAGCGTCCTATATTTCTTTGCAGCTCGCGGGGACCAGGGCCGTTTGGAACAGGGCTTTTTCCCACCTCTTTCCTGCTAGATAGCGACACTACTTTACCGACTGCAACCTGGGTAGTGCTGCTATCTATCAGAATCACTTTATTACTATGTCCAAAGCCAGTTTTATTGCGGAACATTGCCATCCAGTACAACTACTGTTGTTTTTACTGTAATTCAGTGTATCGGCAGCAATGTTTACGCAGCGGCGAGCGTTTGTTCAGCTCCTGGCGCCGTTCCGGCATCTAGCGGTCAGCAGCGAACGTGTTAAAGGTAGGCTACCCAAGCAATGGCTGTTTGAAATCCTGGCATTCTTTTTTGGACACCCTGTATTTAGAAAGAAGATTTATGATCAATTTTCCAAACCTATAAGCCTATTACAGTAGGTAGGTAAATACAGTTAGTAGTTAGGCCTAACTTTGAAAGGCCAGACCACAGAAAGATTATTTTAATTACGGTAGTGAATTAGTTCGGTATAAAATTGCAGTCTAGAAGCAATGACCTTCTTAAGAGCGAAGGCGAGTGCATACCGTATATGAATTTTGCTATTGAGTTGGCATGATTGATGACTGTACGAACAGTACGATATTCGGTTGTTGGGTACAGTTATTAAACCAGGAAGGATCTCATGCCATTCAAAACGACCGGGTTGTTACTACAGTGGAACCTCGATAGTTCGACATAGGCTGTGATGACATGACATGTCATCAGCGGCCGTCGACAGGTTAGCCAAGGTAAAAAACTAGAGCCTTCTTATTGTTTTTCGTGCATGCAAAAGCTCGATTCAGTTAGAAACTCGTTTACACGACCCTCAATGACAAGACAACCTCGATTATGCCTACAAGTGCACTTTTAAAATTCCCTTGAAAATGCTATAGCACCTAATATTAAATTAACGTCTAAAATATTAATATTTCCTTTATAAGAACCTCAATAAGACACCTTTTTCCAAATCACGAGGCAACTCCGTCACCTCTATGACAAGTTGTTTTGAGAACTCAACCTTGATAACACGACTCTTACCTATCTATATGAAAGAGCCCCGACGGGTTTTCATCAGAACAGATGGCGGAAACAACATCAATTCAGTCTAAAACTAATACAATTGCTACTCCACACGCTACTAACTCCCATTTTACAGAACATTAATTAGGCTATCTTCGACAAATCAGTAGAATGTCTATTCATTGCGGTCTAGGTCCTCGTTGTAATACTGATGGTCCGTTTTATCTTAATTCCATTATGCTATTTTGTTGTTTAAATGCTTGTGACCTTTGAAAGTTTTGTTTGTCTGCTGTGTGGTAGCCTAATCATATCTGAAAAAGTAAAATAAATTTATTGTCAGTATAATTTAAAAGAAAGGTGATTGAACATGTAGAAGAAAATCTAAATAGGCCAAAAAAGAAAGCTGATGTTTCTAGGGAATTTATTATTTCATCAACTGCGTTGCATACAATTTAGAAAAAACAGTTTGAAGAGGAAAAAGGAGTTGGTAAACGTGTGAAGAATGAGACGGTATTTCAAGACGTGGAAGGATGTTTAATCAAATGGCTGAAACAATGTCGTTTAAAAAGTCAAACTCTGTAGTGTTTTTTATTAGGCCTACATGTGTACTTATATTTTATATAATAACCTATTAAATTAATTTCTTGAATTTCTTACACAATACAGAACTGCAACTAAATTTTATAATTTGAAATATTTTGTGTTTGCAAAAGTTTTGAAATTCACTCATTAAAAAGCTGATCAGTGATTGTATTAACCTTGATGACACGACTACTGTCCGAAAAGACATTAAAAAAGCACAACCCTCGGCAAGAAGAGCTCCTCAATAGTAAGACAATTTTCTTGAACCCACTGAGACACGTCTTATAGAGGTTCTACGGTACTTGAATATCCCATTAATTTAAATTTTTTTCTAACATCTTAAGTGTAAAGCAGTTGAATATTACAAACTCTTCTATACAGTAAGACGACTAGGAATGTACAGTAGGCTAGAGGTGTAAGTTGATAAAGTTTGTTTGTCTTTGTCAAGTTTAATAGGTACTAATTCATTAAATTTGTTCACTTTATCTCATGTTTTAAATACTCCCAGGTGTATGAATGTCCAATATACTGCCTAAAATTTGGCATTTCAATTGTTGGACACCCCCTTAGTCCACAAAGTATTGAGCTATCGAGGTTCTACTCTACAGTATTTATAGTGGGTCTCTGTCTCTACCTCATGCACATCTTTATAGAAACAGCCTGAATCACTTCCCGCATATTCATTCTTTTCCTAGATTCAGTTTTATGCGTGTTTGCGTAGAAGATTTGTCAGTTCGGCCGTGGGTGAGTTACAGATGCAGTGTATTGATTTTAATAATGAAATATATAATTTGACTCCTGCAGTTGGTACACTAAATCAATGTAGGCCTACCTAATTATTACGTTCGGTACACTGAATTAGAATTTTAAATATTTTTGAACTAGTGTGTTCAGTGTTTGCATTTGTCTTTAAAAAACACTATAAGTAATCAATGACAATAAAGCTTTTTTAAATGTCTTGTTAATTTGCAATTTAATTTCACAGCGTTTTGATTTTCTAGCAAGTTGCCGTACCACAGCTACGGTACCGTACCTCTAGTTGTATTTTAGCTCAGTGTTATTATAGCACATCATGCATTTTAAAATATACACGTTTTCTTATAAATCGAAAAAGTGTAGAGTGTAGATTTAAGTCAAGTTGACTAAGTTTGGTCCTATTGGTCTAAAAAGGTATATATCACCAGTGAATATTACTCCCAATGCTGATAAGTGTTACATAGTGACAATATCAAATCAATTAATCATACTTTTTTAACATTACTTTTTTAACAATTGGTAAAATTTACAATAAGTCACAAAAGTAATATTTGATCCGTTGTAAACTCTACATTGGCCAGTTGGCATCTAAAGGCTGTAAACAATTTTATTTTGACCAGCAAGTATATATACAGGGTGTTTTTTTAAAAACTTGCATCTTTATTTATGTAAAAACCGCAATAGATAGAAATATGCAGTTTGCGGGAATCATCTATTGACGTAGGGGGACCAATTGTTTTGAATTCAACGTTACATTCACATTCCCCCCCTTTCCCCCCTTGCCCCCAACTTATTTTTTTTTAATAGCAAGGTACCCCTTGTGACATATCAAATAAAAGAGCATAAAAAAAGAAAATGTTTGATGGAAAAAAATTGAAAATCGGTTCATAAATTTGTGAGATATTCCCCCCTCACCCCCCCGGAACTTTTTTTTTTTAATAGCAAAGTACCCCTTGTGACATATCAAATGAAAGAGCATGAAAAAAGAAAATTTT